TAAATTCATAGTTTTAATTCTAACTTGATTTATTATATTTAGCATTTACCACAAATGTCATTTCCAATCAAAAGATAACTTCCATATAACTTCAATTGCATAGTTAAATGTATTAAATTTATTCTAGGCATAGGGAATCGGTTACATGGTGTGTACCTATCACGTGGCATCGCCGGTGTCTCGATTTCAATCCTATCCACTTTTTTCTGGTGGTAATTGAAAAATGTTTGTTAGGCAAAGACAGAAACCCTGGACAATTTGTGTGAACTCGTCATCTATTTTGCTGCTAACACTGGAAGTATCACTGTTCTAAATATTCTAAATCTATTTTCAATCATTCGAATATCTCTTTTCCTTTCCGAGAAATCGTTTGTTATATTAATTTCTCTCCATTTTCCCTCCAATCTCACAATCTACATATACCTACTTTAAAATTGTATATATGAAAATCGGACATACCTACTCCTGTTTATTGGCAACAATTCATTCAACTTTAGTGTAATTTAATTTAACGAATCATTAATGATGGAATGTAAATAAGTTTATCTTTATATATCTTTTAGTTTTTACGCAAATAAAACAGAAAATTAATCATTCCTTTTACTTTACTTTCTAATTTTCTATTAGTCATTTCATTGCAATCATAAATGCAAATCTATATATATATATATATCGCGATTTCTTCGGAGACTGCTACTAAATTTTCCATAGTGTTAATAAATAATATTGTCTTAACTAGGTCAACAGATAAAGTCATGAGTGGAACAGAAAACAAGAGAGATACATTTCATTAGAATGTACTGTATTGTATGAGACTGTCACAATATACATCTATTGTATACCCTCCTCTTAACAATTCCTTTCCACACTGTGTAGAGTGGACATTGCTTTATTATTCTAGAAACGTATATTCGCAGATTGAGTTCTTTATCGACTCGAGTTTAATGCTAAACACAAGTTTAATCAAATATCCGTAAAAAAGAGCAAAAACAATTTTAATTGCGTTTTATAGAACTATACGGAATTTGCAAAAGTGTTAACTAATAACTAATAACAATTAATTCAAATTATATAGTATAGATTTATTGCCACTTTAAATTATTTTGTTTATTAAATTTACCTTATTACCATAAGGTGAAAGGTCTGCAAGGTATATAAAGGTGTGGCGGCATGTTACAATTACATAATTATATTTAATTAGCAAATAAATTTGTTCTTATAATTAATATCACATTATATTAAGCTGTATTTAGAGTAAACGAGATTAGCAATAAGTACGTCATTAATTATCCAGATGTAGGGTTTTACCAGGGTTAGAAGTAGGTACACGACCGAGAGGGCAAATTTATCTTAGATCAGGCAAAGAAACGACATGACATTATTAGTATGAGTTAAGTCTTGCTCCCGATCGGTCGTGCTGTCCTGTAAAGAAGCGTTCAATAAAGTTATATTGTTACACGTTGCGTTTTTCTTTGGATGAACACGAAGCACCCATAAATTGGTGACACNGAAACGAAACGACATTATTAGTATGAGTTAAGTCTTGCTCCCGATCGGTCGTGCTGTCCTGTAAAGAAGCGTTCAATAAAGTTATATTGTTACACGTTGCGTTTTTCTTTGGATGAACACGAAGCACCCATAAATTGGTGACACCGACGTGATCTGCCATATACAGAGTTTCTAAAATAGAGTTCCAAACTTCTGCTGCGTTTATAACTCAATAAAATAAGCCAAAAAGTTCTTATTAACATGTGCCCTAAAACGCACCCTTAGGAGCCCTTAAAAGGGCTCAAACAAAACTGTTTTTTTTTTTAATAAATTGCAGTTATGAAGGATCCGATCATTTAATAAATAATTTAGGACTTAAATTAAGACTATTTAAATTTAGAGTTACACTTACTAATTAAAGAACTAATTACTACTGCAGACAATAGCTAAATGTGAAATAGAAAATAATGGGATTAAAATTTTCAAACTCAATTTACTCGAAAACCATTGGAAATATCGATTTGGACAAAGATAATATTTTTTACGTAAAATTGTTAAGATTTTATAAATCTGTAGAGAAAATTGTAAAAAAATTGAAATAAAAAAAATTACGGGCCGAAAACCCCCTTCACCAACCTAAATGGGACGCATATGATTTGCATG